TTTTTTTTTTTTTTTTTTTTTTTTTAAATTCTAGCTTTGCTTTAAACCAAAATCAATAAAAATGGGACTATATATGTTAACCAACCTGGAAAATGCTTTATAATATAAATAATTTTAGGCAATTAAATGCTTTCATCAATAAAATGACATTTTAAGATGTCATGGAAAATTGTTTATGGAAGAGCTTGCCTAAAGTACAGAGGAGCTTATGGAAAAGCTTCCTTAAAGTGCGGGCAAATTATATTTTACAGAACTGTCCTTTCCTCTTGTGGACAGATGCAATCCTTGCATGTTAGTGTAGCTGTTAGGTGGAGCTCAAGGGCAAGACATTATATAGGAAGTCTACTTGAAGCCTGTCTGCATTTTGTTACCACAAATCTTTGGATCTGCTAGTGCAAAGCATAGAAGATTTTGACAGACAAGGAAGGTCTTTCCACTGTGTGTGTGACTGTAGACTGAGAGACTATTTTCACTGGTTCTGGTTCGTGCAGGTAGAGGTATTAGCTGATGGAATTACTTTGCTGTCTCTGTTTGGTATTTCTCTACCTTTCTTCTTTGGTCATTTCCTGTGTGGCATCCTTCATATCAAGTTGGGGTGTAAATGTGCTTAAAGGATGAATATTAGAAGAGAAATAGTGTGTGAGACACTTTTGTTGCTGAGGCTTAGTGCAACAGAATCTGTCTGACATTGATGTTGCCTGGGTTGGATATAAAACGTCTCATTTCATATTTGAAAAAAAGGTTGGGTAGGGAGGGAGCAAAAGTGTTAATGTCAGGCTTTTTCCTGATCTGCTCTAATTTTGTCTTTTCAGATATTGAATATAACTCTGAACAGGCCTCGGATGGCCTTTCGGCAGGGCCCTGTGAATATTGTCTTTGCTATTCGAGATGATCAGAGTTTCTTAAATGGGTCTGAAATCAGTGAGCTGCTGAGGAATCTGTCTGTGGTAGAGTTCAGTTTCTATTTGGGCTTTCCTGTGCAACAAATAGCTGAACGTGAGTACCTCATGTCACTAAGGTTTTAGGTATTTTGCCTCCATAGTTTTGCAGTAACTGGTTACGAAGCTTAATGTTTTTAGCTTCCTGCTTGGTCTTTCCCATACAAATCTCTATAACGGCTCTGCCATTCATTAATTTCTGCATGATATGCAAGATGAAGTTCTGGTCTACCCTAGATCAGATCAAGTAAAAGCCTGCTTGTTGTTCTCCAGTTCCATTCTTCATGGCATCATGAAATGTATTTAAGATAATTCCACATAAGAATTTCCTTGGGACCAAAACCAGTTAAAGCCTGTGCCATTTATTATGATAATTCAAATCATCTTTTTGAGGAAACTCCTGGTCCCCCTTTTCTGTTCTTCTGGTACATATTTCTTTTCTGCTACCAAAGCGATGAGGTATAATAAGGTTTTTGTGTTCTTGCTATTTCCCTGCAGAAATTTGGCTATAATTTGGTCTGATATGAACCACCTGCATGCAACAGTAATTGGATTTAATTATGACAGTGACTCTTGTCCAGGGACAGAATAGGTTTTGCAGCAGCCTGGGAGGACGAAAACAGAAAACTTGTCCACAAGCAGCTAATAATTTAAATTAGTTTGTGAGACCTTAAAAGGCAGTTCTCAAATACTGGGCACTGTTCTCTCAATCAAGAAACTAAAATGAAATGGTGTTGCTTGCTTTTACTGTCCAAAGGTGTTTCTCTTCTTTCTGCATGTTCTAGTTTGGACTCCTGTACCAATTTTTTACTGTTCCTAGTTAAAAAATGTTGTTTTCTTACATTTGACTCTTGTTTGGGCTAGCTTTATCCTTGTGTCCTAGTATGTTGTTTGCTGTATATTTATGGTGGGGGGTGTTGTTTTGATTAAATTCCTTATTTGAAAACCCATATTTCATAGAATCATAGAAGTAGGGTCGGAAGGGACCTTGTAGATCTTCAAGTCCGACCCCCTGCCTGGGCGGGAGAAGAGACTGGACTCAAATGAGTCCAGCCAGGTAGACATCAAGCCTCTTCTTAAAGATCCCTAGGGTAGGAGCCAGCACCACTTCCCTAGGAAGTTGGTTCCAGCTACTAGCTGCCCTAACTGTGAAGTAGTTCTTGTGGATGTCTAATCTAAGCCTACTCTCTAATAATTTGTGTCCATTATTCCTTGTCATGCCAGGGGGCGCTAGGGGAACCAGTGTCTCCCCTAAACCCTTCTGGTCCCCCCTAGTGAGTTTATAGACAGTCACCAGGTCCCCCCTCAGCCTTCTCTTGTGAAGGCTGAACAGGTTTAGGTCCCGCAGTCTTTCAACATAGGATCTGTCCTGTAGTCCCCAGATCATGCGGGTGGCCCTCCTCTGGACCCTTTCAATGTTGTCCACATCCCTCCTGAAATGGGGCGCACAGAACAGGATGCAGTACTCCAGCTGTGGCCTGCAATGGGACTAGGCAATAAAATGAGAACAGAATTTCTTCCAAGACCAGTATATCTTGACAGTCAGGCTGCCCTATGCTTAAAAACCTTATTCAACATGCATTTGTACTGTCTGGCATTTGGGGTTTTATAGTGTTTAAGTGTAATTTTAAAAGCAGCTTTCTTATGGCAGGGGCTGTCTCTCTGTGTGCAAGTGCCTAGCACAATAGGAAAAAATCGCCATAATTAAAAATAAATAATGAAAAGAATGATGGAAAGCTTTCTAGGCTTCCTCCTTGCTTACTGCATCTGTGCAGTGGTCCAGTGGATTGTTTTATTCTTTTACCATGCCACTGCCTGGAGTCAGAGCAGTGGAGATGTGTGTGATGGCTTCTGTGTCCTGGTGAATGCAGGTGTATAATGGCATAGTCAAACATATGGATCAGACTTTTCTGTAGCGGTGTCTTAAAAGACTGAGGATTGTTCACACCTAAAATTTGCTACTCCCAAGTGCCTTTAACGTTAAGTCAGGATTATCTTTCATTACTGTTTCTACCAGCCTGGGGTGGTCTAGCTTGTGCAAACTCGAACACAACAGGAAAAGAGGCTCCATTGTACATGATGGATTTTATCATTTCATCCTGAATAACAAAGTTCCCACAAATTTGCCTATTTTGAACTCTTTAAGAATACCACTTGGGCCACATCAATCCTTGGCTCAGGTTTTTATGCCTGTTTTGAATGGGGGAGGGCCAAATGATATTTTTATATTCTTTTTTAATAATCTGCATTCATTGCTAATCCAGTGTATTTGGATACAGCTAGAGTACCATACTGTATGCCTCAAAGCCCTCACCAATGTCTTATGGATTGTCTGTGATTTTTGGGACTTTAAGAGAAAATTTGAAAACATCTTTCAAATAAGTGCAGACATTTTAAACATTGGGGAGTTTACATCCTGAATATAATGAAATCAAAGGTATGGGAGGCATTACCCAAAGCAAAGGGGACATCTCATCTAAACTAGGCTTGTACATGATTTGAACAAGTTATTCGCTGTAGTTCTATCTGAACATAAAACAACCAGTTTTGATTTGTGCTTTTCTGCTTTGATGTCCATAGCAACAAAAGCTGTTTTATTCCCTGGGTGATAGCATCAGTTGTTCCACCTCCCATGTCAGCAAAGAGCGAGGTTTCTCATGCAGCACAAATCTGATGCCCAAGTGATTATTTCTAAGCTTTGCTTCTAGCCATGGGATCATCAACAGCTTTCTGGTTTTGCTGAGGCACTTCCCTAGGTGTCTTTGTATCTGCCTGCTATAAAGTTTTCCCTACTGAACTGTGGGTATTAATGTCGTTTCATCGAAGGCCTGGAATTTAGGAACAATGTCAGAATTTCAAAAACTGGAATCAAATGACTTATTAAACAAGGAAGTCAAATTTCCCCTTGCTTCATTTTACAGAATGATTTTTTTTTTTTTTTAATGTGTACTAAGGCCCAGACCAACAAAGATACCTACTGGTAGGCACCTAATTTCCTTTGGTTTCAGCTTTGAGGAATGGGGCAAACCTATCTTGTTTGCTTTTGTCCATTTCATTTGATCTGGAGAGCAGTCAAATAATTGCAAGAAATCTGTTCTTAAAAGGCTAACATCTACTTGCAAGATAACTAGCTGGTCAAAAAGCTGCTTATTCATTCTGGAAATTGCATGCGGTCCTTCCCCTTTCTGGTGGCAAGTAATTGGATATTTACTTTTCATGAATGCTGGAATGTGCCTTTACATCCAATTTTTTATACTCCCTAGCATCCTCTTCTGCTCCTTTTGCTGCTTAGTTGCTTGCACTGTTATCCTCCGACTGGTTGGTTGAGGCATTCTAAAGGATTTAATTTTTTTTTAAAATTGGCTGTGTACATGTCTCTATATAATAATGTTTTAAAATATCTTGCATACAAGGACTGATTTATAAGTGCTAGGTGAGCTGAAAACAAATACAAGCTGTTTCAAACTCAAATATAGCCAGTACTACAATATCACTGAAAATCTTGGGCCTTTTTAAACAAATCCTTTGGAGTCTGATTATGATTTCTGTTTGAAAGAAGCAAGCTGTCTCGCTCCTTTTGTTCATTTCGCATCACCTTCTGCTTATAAATCTTACATTGGGTCTGTTATCTGTAGTCCAATATGCATATTCTTTAAACTATATCTTGTTGGATAGGCCTCAGGCAGTACATTGTTAGGCACTTAAGCATGTTTGGCCAGTGCTGTTCTTATTTTGAATAGCTACCTTATGCACAGTGTACTACCTTGTGCAAGAATATTGGCAATGGGAGTGGCCAAGTATGGGAACTGCCAGCATTTTTCTTTTAAATATTTTCAAAGAGTCCAAGGCCATTTTAATAGCTTGCCTATAATAGTGTTATGTTTTATTTCATCCTTTCTGTCCATGTTGCATATCTCTTTAAATTGGATATTGTCAATTAGCTACATCTTAGCACAGCATCTGAGCAGATTCCCATTTGGTTAGGGTTTTCAGGTGCTGTTGCAATACAACTAGCCAAAAAAAATAAGTTTTGTATTTCATACAGTTAACTGCTACGAAGAAATCTGTTGCACTCTTTCCAGCCCCAAGCATCCAAATCCCGAGTCAGGCCTGCAAAATTACAAGGTTGCCTTAAAATATTTTAATAATAACTTCTCTCCTTTTTATGTTACTCCTGTGGTCTCAAGGTTTTCTCCATAATTGAGAAGACTAGAAATATTTGAGAGAAATTCTCTTATTCACCTGATTTCAGTGTCTGGGACTTTAGACACCATACCAAATATGAGATTTGCCATAAACTCATGAATGTTGGAAAAACCTGACAGCTCTATAGATTCTGTTTAAAAATACATTCCATCAAGTGAAAGGCTTCTTTTCTCCAAACACCATGCAGTTTTAACAGGTTAAAACTAATGTTCCAGATGTGGCACGGTTTGGATGTAAGCTGGAACAGGAAACTGGAACCACTTAAATGGCACTGAGTTATGATCTCCTGCTGCCCATGGTTAGAGGGCAGATGTCCATTCTTTTCCTGGCATGTTTAACTGATTGTTAATATTTCTACTTGATTTTGGCCATGAAGAGCTGTATTCTCTTCCTCAACCAGTCATCAGTGAGTCGCCTGGAATCATCCGTAGCAGAGCCTGTTCCTACTAGTGCAAAAATCTCACTTCACATTTAGCTGAGGAAGAAGAATTGGTATAATGGGCTTTACTTTACACTTCTAGGAGCAAAGACCTCAGGGTGACAAGTTTGAAATATTTTACGTTATTAATCCTGACCACTTTAGACGGCTCCTTTTTTTTCAGACTTCAGTTGGAGAATATGCATCAACAGCAGTGTCTTTCTGTTGCTTATGGAGAAGACCAAGGATTGTGCTGTATAACAAAGAAGTACATTTTCAGGGACAATTATGAAACAGTTTCTCTTTTATTTTTGTGCTGTTGAGCTTTTGCAAATGTTTTCTCTCCCATTCTTTTTTTCAGCCTTTCATTACCCTAAACTTAACGTGTCTCAGTTGATGAAATCTTCGTGGGTGAGAACAGGTATGTATGGTCCATACGGGGAAAAAGCTGTGTGGTTATTTTTGTTAGCCAGGACATGCATAATATTTGAGGGTGTTTTCTGTTTAGGACTGAATGTACTCCAAAACCAAAAGCATAAAGAGTTGGAATTTCTGTGAAAAATGCACTTGGCTTGTCCAGAACAAACGCGAGAAATCCCTTGTTTTATCGGTTCAAAATATTAATACATGTCTAAAATGCAGAAACATGCACATCCAGGTAGAGAGAGGACATTATATACCCTAGATGCTTTATAGGTTGCAGATCAATTTTTAGAATAATTTTTACCTTCAGTAACAACTTTCTTTTTAAAAGTTACCTTGTACCAAATTACACAAGGCTATACCACAGAGTGAGACTGGATACCATATGTGTGAAATTTTTTTTAAGAACATTAATTGAAGCAGTTGCATCACATTTCATTGATTTATTCCCACAACTCATTTCTTCCAAATCACCTCTGATCCAAGTCAGCTCGCCATTTAATTTGCCCTGAATGTAATTATCAGAGCTGGTTGAGTTCTCCCAGCTGGTCAGAAATCAGGCTGCTGTGTTTGGATCTGCTAAGCTTTTTTGTCTGCTTCATAATCTGATTCATCTTGAGGACAGTCCAGTTACCGCCTCTGGCCCTGCAAGCTCATTCTTGAGGTGTGCGGTCCCCTCTGGATGACCCTTCTCAGAAGTGGATCTTTTCTTTCCAGATGTCCTTCACCAGTTGCTCCAGCCTATTCTTTCTCAGATCTGCACTTGAATATATTCCAGTTAGGTGTTTAAGCCCTTAGAGGTGTGTAGCAATTATAGGAAGAGACCCAGAGGTTTTGCAGAGTAACCTTTTAGTCACAAACCAAAATCAGAGTTTGCCCAAGCCTAACAGCATAGTGGGCTAGAATGTCAAGGCATGCCAGTTTCCGTAGTCAGAGGCACACAAAGAAATTACAAGGATAGCATAGCCTGAATAATCATTTGCCCATTTGCCACTGGGTCAACTGGGAGCAACCTTTGCCACAAGTCTGAAGTGGAGTTTAAATTCATGTCCCTGAGTCCATAGCAAACTACCTCATTCATTCTGTCACCATGTCCCCAGAAACTTCTTCAGTGTACATATGCACATACATATGTGAGCATTCTCACTCCCCACAGCCCACTCTCCCCTTCATAAAAGAAGCACCAAGATTTATAGATTCATACAAAAACTCTACTTTGAGAATCCTAACTACTGTGTGGGTCTGGATTTTTGTTCCCCATCCTTTCAGAACCCGCAAGCCCTTTTCCTCTTTTGCTTGGCCTTTTATATTTGTTCTGTCCATCCATGCAGCAAATTCTTAGCTTCCTCAGGTTCAGCAATCAAATGGTTGCCTCCAGCTCAGAAATCACATTCCATTGCGTTTCCTGAACTTCCTTGAATTTGACTTTTTTTTAATCCAGTTATAACATCTTATTTTTTGGGTTCTGAGGAATTTCTGCTTCTCCAACCCTGCAAATAATCTGGGGAGAAGAGCCAGTTTCCTTCTGCTTAGCCAGTCTTTTTAATATTTACATTGTATTGGAAGGGTAAAGTCATTCCATATTAATGACTCCTTTGATTGTTCTACAGCTGTTTCCAGAAAGGGATTGTGATAGATGGCATGGTCCTTGTCTACAAATGATTGATTTAATGTATGCCAAGGGTTAGAGTTCATAAAATCGATCAGAATTCATAAGCTGTACATAGATTCCCCAAACAATCCCATTTTTCATGAAATAGGAGAGTGCCGTTTCTAGAACTGTGCTTCTCAATTGCAGACTAAAACTCCTGCTATTATTCATAATTTGATCAAGCCACATTAAAAAGAAAGCAAAGCAAGTCTTTTCTTTATTTGATGCATTTAATTGCTTTTGATCACAGACTACTTATATTGCCATCTAATTCTGCCACACTAGGTTTGTGTGTAGAATTGGTAAAAAGATCCAATTTTGCGGGGGAGAGGCAGTTTTGATAGTGTTTCATAGTTTTGTGAAATGGCCAGTTAATTTTTTTGTTCATTTTCTTTTTAGTGAAAATCAGAAACCAAACATTGAAAGCTTGATTATTTGAAGAATATTATTGGTTTTAAAAGTGGAAAGCAAAGCGAAAATATTTTTACAAATCAAATAAAAAAAAAAAAAAACAAAAAAAAAAAAAAAAAAACCAAAACAAAAACAAGTTACTGGTGCTTTTCAGCTCTTTAGTGGAGAATTCTAAAGAACGCAGCTGAATTTATTTTCTTGCAGATACTTAAATCCATGGAGAGCAATTTTTGTTTGCTGCTTTTTTAATGTTGTTTAGTATCCTTTAGTTGAGCTTCTATGCATTCATTCTAACCCATGTCTTACCCTATCTTTGCCACACTTAGTAAAAGCCTTCATTTGTTTTATGTTCTCATGTGTCATTCCTGGATGAAGCCACTGAGTGTTGGATGCTCCAGTGACTTGGAGAGCCTTCAGGGTGATGGTGTGGTTGTCACAGCTACTAATGCTAACAATTTTTTTTGCACTGCTGCTCAACCACGCTTACATAAATACCTGTCACAGGCCAGATAGACTTACACTTTTAAAATACGCTATCATCTTTCTATTTTCTTTTTCAATCTCACTTTTTCTTTCTTGTTTCTTTCTCTTATCCTTGCCCACTCCTGACTCCATGACTTTTGAATCAAAATAAAATGATGATTGAAAGTAGTGTTGGAAGTGATTACATCCCTGAATTTCTTTTCAATGTCCACAGTTGTCTTGGAAGCAAGATTGCTCAATGATTGCTAGGACTGCTCTGATCCAGAAATATCCTCAGTGTTTTTGTTTGTTTTTATATTAATTCTTCTATCAAATTAATGAATTAATTAATTAATTAATTATCTTAATTCTTCTACCAACTTAATTATATTAATCCTTCTACCAAAGACCAGAATTGCAATATGCAACATCTAGCTGGGTTGGGTGAGGAATTCCCACATCAGCATTTCAATGCTAATCTTAAATAGTCCAGCAGAGGTCAGTAGAGAATGATCCAAGACTTGCATTTGACCATTGCACAGACGACACTGAGAACTTGTTTTACTGATTTGCTTATTCTTGGATTGCTTTCTTCCAAACGTAGTTCTCCTGGGTGTCATCGACCAGCGAATTCAGGAGGACGTGTTTCAGGCTGAGATGGAGAGGAAACTGGCTCAGCTGCTGAATGAAGCTTTGACCAGAGGGCGAATATGGAGGCGGGCCAGTTTTGTAGGGAGCAATATTGTGCAGGTACTGAATGTTTGGAGCTAGAGCCGAGGATGAGAAAATGAGGGGAATAAACAACTGAAATAGTAAATAATACCTAGCATCTGAGCAGAGCTAAGATGAAAAATAAATGCACAATACAGTTGCTTTGTAACTAGTATTCACATAAGGTGTTGCAAGTCATCTGGAAAGCCAGGTAGATTTGCACCTAACTAAATCAGCGAGCAGTGTACAGTATAAGCTTTTGTAAGCAGTGAGTTTACTTCATTAGATCACGTGAAGGGACTGCAGTAAAAAGAATTGCTAAATAGAAAGCAGTGATTAGAACACAAAGGTGAGGGAAGCGGGGAGCAAAAAGAAGAGGGCTCTGCTGAGAGAGGCAAGGTGGATAGGAAGTAAAGAGGAATATCAAAGCAGTTACCCTACTGAGGGATATAGGGTTTACAAAAGCTAGTCCAGGGATAAGAATCTGTAGTTTTGGGTTAAACCATAATTGATACAGTCCAGTCTGTGGATGATTTCTTGTTCCGCAATATCCTATTGAAGTTCACTTTAAAAGTGGTGTTGTCTAAGAACAACCACTCTGAGTGATGAAATTGCTGCTTTCTCTTTAGCAGCTCTGCTTCCTGCAGTCCCTTCATAGCATCTAGTGGAGTAGGCCCTCTGCTTATGAATGTTTATACTATACATCTCTGATTTAGCTAGTCTATAAAGGTGCAAATTTACCCTGCCTCCTACCTGACTTGGCTAATATTGCTAACCTACCTCTCTCTACAAGTCATCTAGCCATTCTGTTCTCCTTACCAACTGTAAGTGGTAATGGCAGTTGAAACCATTGGAAGCTTTAAGTAGTTATAAAGTAAATCACATGATTTCTTTGAGGATTGTTTTTAAAAAATGCTTAATAAAATTCAGCCTAATATGAAAACTGAGCATGTTTGTAATTTGACTGAGATGCTCTGCAAAGGATGATAATGCCCCTTTGAATCAAAGGATGTCTTGTTAGAGCAGCTGTTATGCAGCTCTCTCAATACTTCTAGATACTCAGGAGTATTTTGTAGTGTATAACTATGAAATAGGATAATGTGCTTGAACTCTGGGTGGCACAATTGTCATGCAGTTAAGGTATCTTGTTAAAAAAAAGAACATACTCCACCCTTTCACTGCTTCCAGGTCATAAGAGTTGCAGTGAAAGACAGTATTAATTGTGCCAAACTTTATACACAAGCCACCTTCTGTCATACTCTGGTTCTGTTTTATGCTTTCATCATAAACAGTGGTTTCCACTTGTGGGGGAAGGGGAGGGTCAGGGGCTGGAAGCCAAGTTCTTAACTGCAAAAATTTGAAAATTTACCTTGCTGTAAGCTCCAAGCTCTCCTATATGTTTCCTTATCACCCAGATCAACACACTGAAATTCAATCTACCTTGTTTAATGTGGAAACTGTTTAAAAAGACTTTTTGTTACCTAATCCATCAACAGCTGACCTCACAGTTGTCATCGTGGCAGTTCAGAGTCATCACCTTCATTCAGTATAACCCTACAGTTTCCCCTCCCACTTTAATCTCCAGATGTTCAACTTTTTTTTCCCCTCTCCTTCTCCACACCCTCCTTCCCCCAAAACATCTGTTTTAACGTTAGGGGTTTTTGTTGTTTTTTTTCCTTTTGCACAGATGCAATTCGTGTGAATACAGTGTTTGTTTTGGATTTTTCATTCCCAATGTACTCTTGTGTGTGTTATATTGTATTCCTCTATTCTGCCTCTGAGTATAAATAAAATAAGCCTTGTGTTGCCCACAAAAGATGCTACCATATGTAAAATACATAGGCTGCATGTAAGAAGTTACTGTTTTATTGTTTAGGTCAGTGGTGTTCAACCTTTTTGCCTAGCAGGCCAGATGGGTAGTGCTCATTACATCTGTGGGCTGGATCCAGATGGCAGTCCTTATCTGGCATGTGGCAGTCATGACAGGGCCTCATCCTGGCCATGGTGGGGCAGAGGGTGGCAGGGGGCATCCTGGCAGGGGCCTTGGCCCTGCAGGATGGAGGGAAAGGGGGCTTGACCTGGCCCTATGGAGGAAAGGGGACATGGCTGGGCCTCAACCTAGACCCACTGGGGGAGAGGGAGAGGAAGGCAGGGAAGGTAGGGTGTGGGCCAACCTAATCCAGCCCAGGGTGGGAAGGGATGTGACTCAAGGCTTATCCAGATGTAGGGGTGTGAGGAGGGGGCATAACCTGGCCTCAACCTGCTGCACAGGGCTTGGGGTTTGGAAATTTGTCAGTGGGGGAGGGTGGCTGTATTTATTGTCACTACTCCCCTGCTGCTAAATTTTCCAGTCCATGGGGATCTCCACAAGCTGGATTCCTATGGCTCCATGAGCTGCATTTGGCTTGCAGGAGATTGAGCACCTCTGGTTTAGGCAATAGAGCACCAGTTGTTGTGTATTGTTTGCATGCACCGGTGTCTGAGAAATCCCTTTCTAGTTTAGAGTAAAGCATTGATTGGGTGACAATCCAATGCTCATGGAGATGGTTTTACTTCGGTGTGTGATGCATTCTGTGGGCCAGGCCTTGCCTGCTTAATCCTAATAACTCCCCCCACCCATCTTTTTGTACCACTGTGCTTGTGCAAAGGGGCTATAAAGTTTCCATAACTGGGCAACTGTACAATACAACTAGTACAATCTCCCCCACACTCCACAACAGCAGCTCTGCCTCTTAAGTACTCCATCACTCCCTTTAGTTATGTATGCCAACCCTGCACAGCAGTAATACAGATATTATTACAGTAATTGGTGAAAAGATATGAGAAAGTGCAAGGGAAAAGATTCCATATTTTGGCATGGAACTTGGGGTATATGGTAACTGTAATGTGGTAAGGTGTGTGCCTGTGAGTGAAGAAGAGGGTCTGTCTGTGGCTTAACTTCTCATTTCTTTGCTCTTGCAGGTTAGTGACAGGTATGTTGTTTACATACCAGTCAGAACTGCTTCATGGCAATGCTGTGCATGTTTATATTCATGTATTTCCAACACCTTTGTGTGATCATAGGAAAGAAGGCTAAAGGGACTTCATCTGCCTTGTTCAGGGTAGCAGTCTTTAAGAGGCCCTTAAAGCCACCAGATATGCAGTCTCTAAAGCCTTCCAGCTGGTTATTATACACAGATCAACACTCTCTGTTTTTGTGCAGCATTCATACAAATGTTTCACGAAGCATTTCACATATTATGATTGCCTCATTCAAATACAGGCCCACAGGCATGATGTAGGTTACGTTGTATCATGCAGACTTAGGGCAATGCCATGAGACATGTTTTATGAATAGTCTGTCACATCAGTTCACATACTGTTTAAAAAAAAAACAAAAAAAAAAACTACCAGAAGCTTATATTAAGATGCTTAATTTATATTGCTTTCAAATGTCACCTTTCAAGTTTTATTTCAAATCTGATCTTTTGAAACCTGGGAGAAGGGGGAGTGAATCCTATTAACGAGTAGCAGTTGGGATAAAGTGGCATAAAGAATGGCAACTGGCACAAAGTGGCAAAAGAAATGGAAAACTATAGAAATTAAATAACATTGGACAGTTAATATTTAAGTATCCAAACATTATTTGAGGAAATAATATTTACAAAGGCATGATAACACTTTATCACTGAGTTCATTTTTTAAAATATAAAGCACAGGTTCATTTTCTTTATTTTGTATAAATGGACTGTGTCCCAAATTACTTGCAGATTATGTGCTGTTGAAGATAAGGTTTTCTGAGGATTTTGAGGTTTTTTATATGGACCCTTTAAGAATTTTGCTGTCCAGTTTTTGTTTTTTTTGGTGGAGCCCGGTGGCTAATTTTCACTGCTCCAGTGGCTGCCTCAACTGGCAAGCTAGCAATACCAGTATTTTCCAGTCTGAGAATCTGTTTGGTGGGCCAGCATGGTGCTTCGTCAGACCATAGAGCTGGCAACAAGGAACTTGAGGACCTGTCCAGCATTAGGACGTCTTCCTTGGGGTGGGTGTCTGAGAGAAACAGTAGTGCACCTCACAGTATTTTTTTTTCCCCCTTCAGCTCCAGACAAGTCCTCAGGCTTTTGGTTGCTATCCCTATCTGAACAACCACTCTGATTTGGCAAACCAAATTTCCAGCTAGCAGAACAGAGGCTTGCTGCTTGGGGCATCTGCCAGAGGAAATGACCTTGTCATTGGACTCCTTATACAAATTCACTTGCTAGTTACTTCCTCCAAGTATAATAAGGGTCTACCTATGTGGATCAAATGGTAGGACAAGGACCTATATTTCAACTTGGATGACTACTCAATATAATAACAACAACAACAAATGCTGCAACAAGATTACTTAAGGACAGAGGCTGGAAACAGATGTTGCCTTTGTGATGCCATAAAAAGCAAACAGATATCCATGCTTCTTGTCGCACCACATGCCTACATTTGTAACCATGACAACAGGTAAAAAAATTGTGCCACTTTTTTTTTTCTTCTTTTTTGCAGTGGATGTCTGTTTGCTTTATGGTGGGGAGAGCACAGGCCGCCTGGAGTATGCACACTTTCTAGCCCCCTAGGCAGGTGCTTCTGGAGCTTCAGGGGCCCGATTCTGTGTGCCCCAGGAATTTCTCTGCAGAATCAGGTCCATGAAGCCCTAGGGATGCATTTGAGTTTCCCAGCTTGTGGAGGTGCCCCTTGGGAATCTCCCAGTGCCCTGACTCAAGACAACAGGTGACACCTGTCACCCAGTGAAGTGGATCAGCTGTGAGGGGACACATCCTGGCACAGCTGATCCCATTCCAAGGATGACATCTGTTCATAGCCACAGATAACAGCCTTTAACTTCACCAGTATTTCCTGACTCTGTAGGTTTATGCAATAACTTGCTCTACCCAAAGACAGACTGTGTATATATGTGTATTGCCCATTTCCCATATGCTTCATGTTGCAGTGTCTACTAAGGAGGACCAGGGTTCAGCTTGACTTAATTGCATAAGTGCTTAAATCTCTCTCTCTGTCTCTGTTTC